TTTATGTACAGTCTCCTTCACTGCCTTTTTTCCTTAGTCAAGCCTTGAACGTCCATATCATTCTAGGGGAAAACACACTTCAGTGGCACTGCCAAGAGGCCCAGGGCTGCAAAGCAACTGAATAAAGGCAGAACAGTGCACATAGAACGGGGTGGCTTGATTTAGTCAGAATACACTTCCTGATGAAGGAGGAGGCTCAGACTAGATTTGAGTTTACAACATTTTGTTACAGGACTGAATTCTCAGCTTTAAGAAAAAGTTTAGAATAGAAGGTGTGGTGCTGAATGGGCATTTATATTAAAAGAGGAAGGCAGAGAAAGACCCACAGAGGTCATCGTCCTGAAATCACTTCCCTTGTCCGTAGCCCTCCCGAAAGGAACTACTGCAGTGCAAGTGTTGTCAGGATAATGGCCTAGATCACTGAACAATTCAATGAAATAGTTTTCACAGAGCAAGTTAGCCTTTTGTAAATAAGAATATGTACCCTATTTTCTTAAAAATCCAATCCATTCATATTGTAGGTGAGTATTATGTGAATGAGTTCAGCTTCAACTATCCACTGTATGGAAGATTGGTTTCATTTAAACTATTGCACTTCAAAGCCTGAACATATCTTGGTTTTATCCTGCTGTGCTATTCCAAGTTTAAGAAGCATCCTATACAATAGTTAAAGAAACACAGTTCTCTGGCAGACTTTAACGGTATAGTCCATATCTGCTCATTATTGAGCAATGAGTCTTTAGAACAATGCATGATCTATTTTACTGGCCCACAGACCAAGAGATACTCAGTGAGATCTGCTCATAGATTTCAGTTATTTCCAACAGCTGTATATTTAGTGAATCAATTCACTTACAACGGGGCTCAGAAAAAAAGAGCCAACATAAAGTTGGTTTTAGTCTTGGTTTAGCTAAAGACAAACCTTACAATTAAAAAAAAAAAAAATCATCCTATTTTTTTTTTCCTACTGCCAGTAAGCTTTGCCAATGTAACTCTTTGTGAAAACTGGTGGACTCAAAAATTAAAGCTCCCAATCTGGGAATCAGGACAGTGGGAGAAAGACCAGCTTCTAGTAGCTGCTGCTGTGTCCAATGCTACTTCAGAAGATTCAAAAAGCAGAAAACAACACTAGTAAAGATTCCCTATTAGCAGGGATTTAAGAGCAAATTGTTGAGATGTTGTCCAAAAGACTGGTTGTCCAAAACACCACATACTGTGTTCTACGTGTGAAGTGGGATTTCTGGACCATCTTTATTTTTAATAGCATCCATGTGCATAGACAAATGAATTTCTTTTGAGATCCTGCTACTTTCAAAACAGGTTTCTTGCACAACAAAAGAGAGCTGCTGTGAGAAACTGTGATTCATACGCAACAGTCTCTTGTGCGTGCCTCAAGGGGCTCTCTTTACGTTATAGCCACAGGCTAAGGTTTTCTAATTTCCAAGATGCTGTTTTTCTAAATCATTATCTCAAGGAGATATCCAAAGTGAAATTTCACCTATAGTCTGCAGCCTTTATGCATATCACTGTGCAACACCTATTATCCAAATAGCAATTAATATGAAGTTAGCGCCAACATTTACTTTCTGTCACCTAATTCCACTATTAACTATGAAGTTCAGCTTTGCATTTAATACTTTTATATATAGGGCAGAATTTTTTTGTCTGGCATGCCACAGTTTAGGTTGATGCAAGAAAAGTCATGCACTAAGAGGAAATACAGATTATGGATTATTATTTTTTGCAATGGGAAATATTTGTCTACAACTTGATCATAGTGGCTGAAGCAGTTTCTCTAATTATATTGTGTTCAGACACCACTGCACAAGCACACAGTACATGTATACCCTGTCAACTGTGAAGAGGAAACCTATGTATAAACCTATGTATATACAGGCATTAGTATTCTATGCCTTGCCCTTTTAACAGAGACCTGAGGAGCAGTTCTTTCATCGTTATCATTTCACAGAGCTTGCTACTAAGGCAGCATGATGAGACTACTCACATAAGATTATTTCAATATGACCTTTTGTGAGTCAAAATTCACTTGTTCTGACTCAAGAAAGCTCATATTAAAATAAATGTTGTTAGTCTTTAAGGTAGAGTTGCCAAGTTGCGGCGGGGGATCGTAGCTCTTCACAGAATCCTTGCCGCGGGGTCGGCGAGATGTGTTGTACCCGCCGTCGCCAGGATCTGATGCATAGTGTCATGTCCTGGCGACGGCGGTGCAACGCATCTCGCCGTCCCCACAGCAAGGATTCTGTGAAGACATGCAGATCCCCCACCGCGGTTTGGCAGGCCTACTTTAAGGTGGCACAAGACTTGCATTTTATTTTGCTACAACAGACTAACAAGGCTACCTCTCTGCAATTCATATGTGGAAGAATCTACTCGTGTTCTGAACCCTATGGGGCTCCCTTGTGTCCCTACAAATAGATAAGGAAGGCTTCCTGCTACCCCGGAAAAGGGAGAGTTCTAGTAATGTACTCATAGAAGCACCTCCTAGCCAAAGTGGAGTAATGACGTCTAGTGGTTAGTGTCAGACTAGGATCTGAGAGACCCAGGTTTGAATCCCCACTATGCCATGGAAGCTTGCTGGGTAACCTTGGGCCAGTCATACTTTCTCAGCCTAACTTATCTCAAACGATTTTTGTGAGGATAAAATGGAGAAAAGGGAAATGATGCAAGCCAGTTTGGGTCTCTACTGGGGAGAAAGGCAGGATATAAATGAAGTAATAAAATAAAAATAATAAAAACAATGCCATCTTAATTGGGAAACCAGGGAAGGTGGGCAGTTAACGCTAGCCATCCATCATTAATAACATGGCTCTTCCTTTTGCAAGGACAGACTGCTCTGATTTTGACCCACTGGCAAACTCTCCTTTGTGAGACAACAGGGAAAGGCAATGGATGAACCGGGACTGCAGTCTTTTATTGACATTCCTATCTGTAAGAACAATTGTGGAAGGTGGTCCTTTAGGGTTCTAAACAGTCAGGGTCAGCTGCTTTTCATGTGAACAGCTTCCATATGCAATTGGTAAGTGGTCATTTACACACACACACACACACATACACACACACACACGAGTCAAGCCCTTCAGAAGTGACTGATATCATGTAACGCCATTTTATATTTGGGCATTTGTGCTTCAACACAAAACATAGCATGAAAAACTGCACCTTCAGAGGACAAAAGTTTTAATGGCATGCATATGAATGTGAGTCTCACCTCAAGATATGCTATTATACCTATGGCTTAAAATAATACATCTTTGCAAAATTTTCAAAGGCTGTTGCTCTCTGTGGGTCTTGTCACCTCAAAATTGAAAAAGCAGGTACACATTTCCTCAAGTCAAGTCTGCCGCCAACAAAATCCATTATTATTAGTATTTATTATTATTACCACTATTATTTTTTTGGGAAAAAAACCAGAAATGAGTTCAGCTTGCACCCCAGGTGGAAAGTTAAAAAGACACCTTGTTGAGATTTTTATCACAGTAGGCAGAAGAGTCGCTTTGCAGCCCTCACCCGGCTAAGGGTGCACTGCTTCACAGCTACACTGTCAAGTGTTAAAAATCCTCCCCACCCACCCCAGAATATATAGATATATGCATGTATTAAAAAAATCCCGTCCATCTCTCAGTACACAAAAGGACCTCATCACACTGCAAAAATAGCAGTACCCACTTTGGTCAATTAAAACAAACAAACAAACAAACAAAAAAGCTTACATTAATCTTTTGTCTTTTTAAATCTGTGTACTTACCTATAATAACCAATGCAGCTAAAAGCACTACCTACATAGGCAAAACTTGGTATTGCATAATTCGTATAAATTTGAACCCCCTCCCCCCAATATTAATTGGAAGATGAAAAACATGAAAGATTAATAGAAAAGACACCAAAATACTGAAAATATTGCTGGTCGATTACAATTTTAAGCGGCAACTATACACAGCCATGATATGCTTTATAAATGTGAGATAAAGTTATAACTGCTTAAAAAATCCATGATGTCACTTTTTTTTCATTTTCCCATCTGGAGTACAAAATATTTTGTCATAAAAATGGTAAAGATTTAAAATGATAATAAATGCAGCAAAACAAGTGTAGTGATGTCACTTTTTAGATTTCAAGGCAAGGCACGTTATGTGGACATTATAACTTCGTGCAAATTAGGATTACTGGATAGAGTAGTTTTAATTAAATTTTTTTATAGAGACGTAGAGGCAAAATGTATCCGCCCATGCACATTACTGTCGATACGAGAAATCTGTCAAACAAGGCTAATTTCTGAGAGCACCATGCAAGTTTTCAGCACCCTGTCATTAGGCTTTATTGAAAGAGTGCATTTTTAAAAAATATATTTTACCCCTCCCCCCAAAAGCCATAAGCTTTGCCCTTGCAACATGGATTTACCTCTCTCTGTCTCTGTGATGCAGGTTTTATAGAACCTTTCATATTCTCTGTGGGTTCTTGATCCAACCAGTAACTTTAAATAAATAAAATACCTCAAAGGAGTCAGAAGCTAAATCAACATAAGTGCTCTGTTTCAATTCATTTCTTCTTCTCAAGTACATGATTTGTCTTGATTTAATTAATGCCTTTTAATGCCCTCCCTTCAAAACTGAGAGGGAAATAAATTTGCTCCAAATATTTTTGAAATTCTTCTTCTTTTTAATCCCCTCAATTTAGAGTCCAAGGGCTGAAGGACTTATAACGATGATCCCCTTAGATATAATTTTTAAATTGCACTTGCCTCTAAGTGTTTTCCTTAGTGGGGAATTTTTTTAGTGTATTTCTCTTTTTGTTTTTACTGTCATATGAGAAGATGACACTTTTTTTTAAACCTCGAGGGAGGTATTGATTCTATAAAATGACTGTTTATTTAAATGATATCCTGAACTTTTCAAACTGGGTAACACACTAGGGAAAGGCAGGGTTAAGGGCCAAAGTTAAATAAGTTTTGATTGATAACTAAAGACTACTTTTTTTCCTTGAAAAAAAAAAATCAGAAATCAGACTGCTGAGAAAAGTTGGCTCACAGCCCTTATTCTCCTGCAGCTCTGCCGCTGCCTCCTAGCCTTTGTTTTGAGAGCTAACTAGGAATAGTGATCCCATGCGTAAACAACAAGAATACTAAACCAATAAACTAGCTTATCATGCAAATATTAAGGCATCTAGAAAGTCAGTTAAAATATATTGTCAGAGACAGAACATCTATTTCCCAGTGGACTTCATAGAACAAAGGCTACACAGGAGGAGCATCTTTCTACTCATCAGTGAAATATCGTCGACCCTTTTTTATGCCATTACAGTTTCAATCTTAAGGGAATTAGTGATTGTAAGTGCTGCAATTGCTGGTCTATGTTTCTTCTTTCTTCAGGTTCATATATTGTTTTGTCCCATCTTCCTTTCTTTTATAGTATTTTGTTCAGTTTCAATCTCCCTCAGTTGCTTGTTTCTGCTTGAAGGAAAGGCTCTCCAATTAGGTTCAAACCATAATTTTGGACATTTGTGGACAGGATTGGTGTCCTGTTTGATACTTGAAAGGGGACCAAGCTAGCCCAGGTACCAGGACTGTTGAGGGAAAAGAAAAGAAAGAACAGAATAAAAATGTAGCCACAACAAAAACCTGCATAAGAACAAACATCTGAAACCCATCCAAACCCACACCTTAACAATAATTTTTCCAACACCATCTCATGTCACAGATAAACAAAGATATGATAAGACCAATCGGAAGGGGTGCAATCATAGCAGCCCAATCCTGAAACAAGCTGTGAGTCTTTCTTCAGGATCAAGCATATGTATACCTCCACCAGTGCAGTTTCATAACATGGTTAAATTTTACAAGGTAGGATACTAGATAGCAGAAAGGAAAATCAAGGTGTAGAGAAAACTTATTATTATTCCTTCTTGATCCCAATGTGTTTTGCCTATGGCTTCGTCAGGGGAACTCTTATAGCATAAGGACTCATGACTGGAAGCTTATGCTATAAGAGATCTCCTGATGAAGCCACAGGCGAAACACGTTGGGATCAAGAAGAAATAATAATAACAAGTTTTCTCTACACCTTGATTTTCTTTCTGCTGCTACTGCCGGTGTGGCCACTGACTTGTTTTCTGCCTATAGGATACTAGATAAACGTAACAGGCAGATACAACAGGGTCGACAATTAATGATTTGCCTGTCTGCTGGAAGGCCAAGACTAGCTAGAACTGTGAAAGGAAAACTGGTCATATCAGGTGATAAACCTACCTGAGATTCTACTTTCTAAAGGGCAAGAGCTTCCCACTGTCTTAATCAGACAAACAAATAAACTGTTGTGGATAAAGAATGAATTATGTGTTTATAAGAATTTTGTATCTAGGGTTTATATTGACGAATCAGTAATAGGTGAGAAATATTAAATGGAAATAAATTATACCAAGTGGCTAATAGGACTGTTGCTGTAGTGCAGCATAACAAAAACAATTTAAATGTTTACATGAGCCTCTTGACCTCCCATCATAAGAGATGGCCATGTTATAAACACACCATACAATATATTTGTCAATATTGTTTATGAATCCCCAGGGAACAGTAAATATTATGCAGATCCCACAAGACTTCTGCAAGCTTTGCAAGCTTCTGTCTACTAGTATACTGGTTCAGGTGAGAGTTGCACAAGTAGCCCTTTTTGGGTCATATCAGATTTGCACCTTTGCTACAAGGGGGAGGAGGGCTCTTAAAGAAACAGGGCCTTCAAAATATGTCAAAATTAGTAGCTATGTAAATGCTTTGACTATTCATTAAATTATAGTTCTTTGTTAAACCAGTTCTATGACATCTTAAAAACCAATGTGACTTTAGTAGGCACAAAACTCTTCATCAAGTGGTGACAAAGAAGCATTTGATGAATAGTTTTTCCGACCAAAGTTTTTGCTACAGCAGTCTACAGTCTGGTGCACATTAAACTTAGCATGGAGATGCCACTGAAAACAGCTTCTCTATGGTGAGTAATGCCCATCCGGTCAAGGTTTACCATAATGCAGAATTTCACCATTGCATTGTGAATCTCGATGCCCCTGCTGGATTATGCTGATAGACATTTAGTGGAGATGTTGGGATCCTACACACTTGTTCTGCTAATAGTGGTGCTTTCCTCCACTATAAGGAAAAGCCTCTTGGACTGGTGAAGGTGCTGCCATTAGTGGGAGAGATCCATATGATCCAACTGATATGATACTGATCACTGTACTGTAATGACAGTAAACCATTCTAAAATATTTGAGGTAGGATATGTATCACTTGTGGAAGCTGTTTGTGCAGGTAATTGTCCTTCGACAATTATGATGCTTTTAGACCTAAAAATATTTTGGAGGGAAATAACCCCAAAATATTTTGGGACAAAAAGCACATTCTGTGTAATCTAACCAAAGAGAATATCAAAAGTATTCCCCAGTGACTGTAGACTCAACCACATATTTTTTAGCAGTGTTTCCAACACTCAATTTATGACAAATGAGGTAAACTGTAAAGAACTTTGTGCATTGAACAGCGCTAATGAAATGAATATAAATTGTCAACATAATGTTACAGTGCCTGGAGTCCTTTTCAACAAACAAGAAATTGTGTTTTTCAAAGTCACTTTTGACCACAGTGTGAAGAGTGGAGTAAACACAGAGAAGATAAGCATACTGCTTCATACAAGTTTCTAATTAAGAAATATAAATACATCTTTACACACAATGTCCAACCAGAAAACTGTGTCTTTGTGATCCTTTTTTTCTATTTACAATTCCCAGACTGATGAGAACTTCAACTTCAACAGTCATCTGTAAATTTTTTGTTATGTGAAAGAGAACTGAACTATAAGGGTGCGGAAGCTGCAGCCCCAGAAAATCTGATGATAGATGTGAGGAAGATTTTGTCTATGGATCAAAAAATACTCATCACCAAACAATAATATGTCGTATTTTTCCTCTCCCTCAATAAAATGTAGATACAGAAGACCTATTTTGAATAGGGTTGTACTCCCCAAATAAGAGCAGGTTCACAGATCAGGGATACTGTTTGATTGACACCTGTAGACAAAGGCTTATATCTCCTCTGTGGCACTGGCAAACTTTACCTGCTTTACCAATTCTGGCTGTCAGGAAGCATGTTTTGCCAAGTTATCCACAGAGTCTATATGAGGCTGCCTTTGAGGATGGTTTGGAAGTTTCAGCTGTATAGCACAGAGACTGCTTACTAACACAACTATATGGAACAGATCTCATCTCTATTAAAAGAACTACACTGACAGTCAGTTTGCCTCCAGAAACATTTGTTACCTTTAAAGACCTGGATCCACAGTATTTAATGGCTCACTCACCCTCCCATGATCTTTGGAAGCCTTTCTCTGAGTTTCCCTGACCTTCTAAGTAGGAAGGGTAGCCAGGAGAGACAGAATTCTCTCTGTTGGAGCCCCTTGATTGTGGAGCAAATTCCTGCAGCTCTTAGTCTGGTATCAAGCTCCCTTTTTCACCAGGCCACTAGTGGGGTGGGTTATCTCCCATTAACTGGTGAATCTACTTTCTGTCTTTTATTGTCTTTCTTTGCTTCTCTATGCTGTTTTTAGTATTTAGTATTATAATTTTATTATTTTAACTACTGTCTGAATGTTGCTAAAATTTTAAAATTTTGTTGGTTGTTCTAATTATTTATTATTTAGTTGTTCTAATTGTTTATTGCTGTTTTCCTATGACCACTGGAAGCCTTCAGAGCTAATGTAGGTAAGAGCACAGGATACAAATGTTTGAATAAATAAAAATGCCATACTGGCTGCCACCAATGACATGATACCACAAGGTAAGCGGTACATAGGCTTACATACACAGTTATTTTTCTAAGTTGCTTTGCAGCACCCTGCCTGTCTCTCTGACTCCCAGACAGTCAAAGCCTATAAAACCTGTGCAGGTGGACCCTACTAGCTTTTCTAAGCAGCTAAAATGGCCTCTCACACAAAATGAACCCCAATTTTTTTTTGTGCAATCCTTGTAATGCCACCTTTCTCTGAGTTTCCCTGCCACCTAGAGAAGACATGGGCAGGCAAAGAGCGAAAAACCCAAGGCACAAAAATTGTAACTGAAAAGTAAAATTGAATTTATTACTGAAATTGGAGTTTGCATAGCAAGTAAAAGGCAGAAAAACTTATAAAATAGCATAAAAACAAGCAAAATGTGAATTTCCAAAGGTTGCAGAACACTTTTCATGTACTATATGTCCCACATCTTTACGGATGCAAATGTACTATGTATTGCAAGAAAATCAAGCTAATTCTAATAGAGACAACCACTTATTATCCCCATACCAAAAGCCCCAGTGGGCTGCATTCTTACAGCAGCACAAACAGAAAGGTATCATAGAGGTGGAATTTGCCCACCTTCTCCTTCCCCACGCATCCACATGGTACCATGAAAATTCTCCCTGATGGCCCTTGCGAACCAAATGCACTACCACAGAGGTCTGTGATGAAGTTGGGAAACTGGGCAAAACTGCCTCTTCCTTTCCTGCTGGTGGAAAAAGGCAAGGAAGGAGAGGCGATGTTACTCAATTCCCCCTCCTTCCCCCGCTGTCATGTAATTTATTCATGAAGGTCCCCAACCCTCAGCGGCAGATTTTCAGAACGTGCAGGGGACTGCTGGGGGAAGCACAGGGCAGGAAAATATCTTATTTTGAGAGCAGTTTCTCTTATATATTGTAAGATCCAACCCAGAAAATTTATTCCATGTTTAGCTCAGAATGTTCCCTATATGAATCAGTGTGTGGATCACCTGTGTCCTTACTTTGACGGGGGGGTGGGGGGGCATTTTACCCAATCAGATGAAAAACAAAAACTGGTCACTCAGTGAAGAGTAAGCAAATGATATTTTGAAATATCATGTAAAGGTAGACAGGTATCCTCACTGCTGCTGCAGAATATACATTCTGGTGGCTACCCGTAGGACAGGCTTCCTATGCAAGACACCAGGCGCGCACGCACACGCGTGTACACACACACATGTCTGAGCAGTCAGGCTGCAGATAGTGGGAAGGGGAAAGATTTGAAGTAACTTTAAACTTACACATTTTAGTAAGAGTTGGTCAAATGAGACATGGGGATGTTGGCAGTCAGTATCTGCAAAAAGCCCAGTACACAGCTCTCAGAAAACTTTGTGAGTATGAGAAGACGTTGGATCATGGATCTTTTAAACAATAATATGGATTGGAATCCTAAATTCACTTCTGCACTCAGGTCTTTCTACACTGCCTTCCTAGTGGCAGCTAATAAGCTGGCCCATTTCTATAAGCTTACAAACTGAAAGCCAATTTATTTTTGTTTGCATTACCTGGCTGCGAAGATGTAGCATAACACATGTAGAATTCAGCTTTCAGACTATGGCCAGAATCATGCTTATCTGACATCGGAGATATTGCTGAATATATAAATTTCTGATAATAAGCAAAGAACGAACATGAAATCCTCAAATACCATACCCCACAATCTGAATTGTATGGGGCGCGTCAGACATTGCATCTCTCTGGACTATCAAGACTCCTCCAATATCCCTTC